GAAAAGGAAGATCTCATCCATAAGATGTCATGCAACATTTTAACGCACTGGGCTATGGTGCAATAGAGAGGGTTGCTTGTCTCCCTATGCTTATGTTTCTCCTTCCTTGAAAAATCCAACAGGTCCCTTTTCAATCCATATCAGAACAGAAACCACCATTACAACTGCATGTATTCAGTCTCCCAGCCAACCAACCTAAACCTGATGTGCTCACATAGGGAAGACAGCACACACAGAAGCACATCAACATACCCTTCAGAGCATTCCACTGAGTCTGTCTCATATGCACCAAATATCTTCACTTTAGCATACAAATATTCTTCTTGTATCCATAACTAGAATCTTCTTCAGATACAAATCCATAGATGCCACGGTTAATACAAAAAACAAATGCTAAAAACTTGATCCATTCCATCCTCAGTATTTCTTTAATATTTATATTTCAATTTCCCCCTCAAAACACAGGCAGATGGTTTAGTATTTATGCGTTTTCTAGGAGCAGAAAAAACACTCAAGACAGTACTTCCTGGTGCTATTTCTCTTACGTTTTTAGCACCCCACATCTACCTGATCATTCACATCACTTAAAGTCCATGGATAGAGGGCTTTACTGCCTAGACTTGTCATGAACATTCAGTTGGCTTGAAAACCATTTCTGAAGTGCAACTAGAGATAATACCAGAACCTTGTAACTGATGGTGAATAAAATCAGTGCATGAAACCATTTTAAGCAATGACTGGTTAAATGTTCTTGCCCTTGACGCCTAAGTGTTGCTGGACTTTAAAAGCACAGGAAACATTAGTCTTAACATACTGAAGACATGCCAGGGTGCTACTAAGTGCTTTACAATGTTTTGAATTTCAGTGAATTCCCATGTTCCCCTCATGCATCAAATCATAGTTGACAACCTCTGTCTCTGCACTTCAAAAACCAAGTGGCAACCAATCCCCTTGAACATTACCAGCTCACATTTTCAACTGGTAGTGAAAATGACCCAAGTCATCTGATTTCACCAAACAAGACAATAAAGCAAATTCTGAATTCAACTGATCCAGACTTAGAGCCACACACCATGATGGAGTCCTGCCTACACCAGGATCTCAAATTGGTGTCAGACCCTTGTTAATACCACTAATGTTCACCCATCACCTCATCCCTTCCCCCCTTGCTCAAAATTAAATCTAACAACCCGAAAACAATTTGACTTAATTGCAACTGCATCATCCTCTGCAGGTTCCAACTGCCAATCCCTGCCATTTGAATGTGTAGTTGCTATGGCAACTGGTGTGAAGAGCATCCTTTTGTGTTGCCACATGCATCTTTGGGATCTGTACCAACATCTGAGCTCCCACAGCTGGGACAGATTTAACACCTTCCTCCCCAGGAGCAGCCTGTCCTTCACTCCAGTGCAGGGGCAATGGCAGCCAACCCTTGGCAAGCAGCTACTTCTCTGCAGATGGACACCTGCAAGAGAATGGCAGATGGCTGCAGCCAAGCTCTGTATAATCAAGGGCCAAGGATGCTCTAGCACTATAAAACGTTCAGCAGTGCTAGACTGCATTGGCAGGGGGTTATGGGGTGCATAGTTCATTGTGCATACAGCTAATGAGCAAAGAAAAGATCCTTTACCATCATTTAAAAATAATTTTCTTCTGGTGGTTTCTGGCTACCTGTTGTGGTCCCTTCATCCACACCCTCCATACTAACAGGTTGCATCCTATCTAGAGGACTACATGGTCTTCTCTCCACCTCCACAATTTTAACATAAAAACATGATTAATGCAAACAGAAACCTTCCCATCACTCTCCCCAGTTATCTTCTAGGGCAGACTGCTTCCTAGAGTTTAGCTCTTAATTTCTTTCCTTTTTCTTAAGATAAAAGGTTTAAACTCAGGTCAGAGTCTACTTTGCCTATGATCTTTTATTCCCCTTTCGAGTCTGCACGGCTTACGCTCTTCTATAAAAATTAAGGTGCACTCCAGCCCTTCCCTTTTTATATTCATGCATACATGTTTAGCAAAGAAACATCTGACTTAATCTTTCCTGCAGCTGAGAATAAGCTAGAGCTCGAGATCAGAAGCTAAATCTGCTTTTAATGGCAAGTAAAAACTATTCATAACAATGGCAAATAGCGTCCCTGCTACTGCACTCATCTTATCACAGCCAATTACTGCATTCAAAAGTGCCTGTTAAAATGATAAATAGTGTAATTCAGGAAGTTCTCTAATCCTCTGGGAGCCCCATTCAGCACCAGTAATGGGCTGCAATGTCTGAAAGTCACCCACTGAAGGTTACTCTTGGTAACTCAGACTCACTTGGTCTGTCTGTGGAGGACAAAATCCATGGTGTTGTGATCTTGGATGTGACAGACACAAAAGGAAAAAAAAACCACAGACTTCATTCACATTAGTATTTGGCCAATTTTTTCACAGTCCTTTTCTCCTACAAACACATTCCAGAGAGGTACAACAAATAAGCAAGCTACAAGACACTGGTGCATGGCTCACAAAACCTACAACCTGAAACCAACTTTTTATTCCCATCAATGCCTCCACATGTTTGGGGCACACAAAAGGATTTGTGAGCTCCTGCTAAGCTCAGCAGAGGCTTGCCACCACCCTCTGTAATACATCTCCCCAGATTTCACATGTGCCAGAATCTTAAGTACAAACAAAAAAGTCACAACACACATGGTTTAGCAACTTATGTTCATCTGCACAACAAGAGTCAATGGAGAAATATGGACAGTTCTGGACACAGAGAAACAAAACCTAAAACTTCAGCAGCAACTTCAGTAGCTGACCCCACTCTCCCTCAGTGGCAGCCTGGAACAGCACAGAAACAGTGGGAGCACCTCCCAGTATGGTGTCAGGGACAAAGGAGGGAACAACCTGTACCTCATAAAGGCACATTACAGCAAGGTGGCATCCTGCACACTGGAAGGCTCCGGAAGATGCTGCACCTTTGAAATGGTCGTGCTCAGCTCTTATTATTTTACAGGCAGACAGAAGAGTTGAGATATTAGCAGAACCCAATATCCTGAAACACCAGCAAAGTATTCATGTTGATGGCATCAACACCTGAGTTCACCCACTGAATTTGTGGTTGGCAACAACCAGGTACTTGTGGGATTTGATTCACCTCAGCCTGAAGCCAACATCTCAGATAAGTCATTTGGATCAATTCCTCTTTGCTGCTTGCAATGGAAACTGGTGGTGTGTGCCCTTCATCAGACATCCCTTACGAGCAACTAACCTTTGGGCAAGGTGATTCCTGCCTGAAGTACCCATAAACTGCTTTGGGTTGAGCTACCAAAGGGCTGTCCAGGAGGAGCCCTCCCCTGGGGCTACAGCAGGACAAGGACAGGAGGTGGGACGCTGCCAGGAAAATCACAGCCAGCAGTCTGACACCAGTGTCATCTGTCAACAATTCTGTCAGAAAATGTCATTCTGACAAAGAAGATTTTTTTTTCTCTGAAATCAAGTCCAACATTTCTAGATTATTTTTCTTCCCCAGAAGTAAAAAAAAAAATTGGCACTTTATCCTATTTTTATTCTTTATAACCCATCACTGGTGTGGAGAATGTCACAAGGGAAGGTGATTTAGAAATAAAGCAAAATAAGATCAAAGTTTATTTTTAGACAAATCTTATGGCACATTCAGACTTTTCCCTACTTTGAATAAAATAAGGAATTTCAGAGTGCTACAACTTGCCAATTCCATGATTCAGCCAGTTCTATCAGATATCCCAGGTGTAGTCAGACCTTTTGAGTTAATTTACTACCCAGCACTCAATTACAGCATTATGAGCAAATACACACATAACCTCCTGTGTGCAACCAGACTCTGCTAGCCTTGCTGGCCAGCTGCATACTGTGCCACACTGCACCCAGAGAAACCCAGACGCAGTAGTGCACATAAGCAGTGTGCATTGCTCTTACTTGTTGGATGATTTTTCTGTAAGATTTCTCCTTGGCAAGTCACACCATCCTAGGGTAGCTGCAGTGTAATTACACAGTGCTTTTTGTGTTCTCCAGTTTCTTAATACTGGGATGCCACAGAAGTAACACTACCCTATCTTTGTCCCCTTTCCCAAAGGGACTTTGAAAGTACAAAACAAGTAATTAGTGTCAGATTGTTAATGATCTATCACTGCGAGTCTGAGTGGAATGAGCAAACAGAACATATTTAACATTGCAGGTGCAGATCCAAGGACAAAAAGTGGAAGAAACCCTTTAACCCTCCCTCCTCCTCTTTTCTCTCTCTTGCTTACGTTCCTTTTTCCATTAAGGCAGAATAAAACCCTTTCAACTATACAGATAGCCTGCATAGCTCTGTCTGGACACCGCCAACCATTTACGGTAACTGAACAAAGCGTATTTGTGAGCCAAAACTAAAATACCAACCTTCACCTCTCCTCAGAAAAGCTTTAGATTCACAGATACCAGATTAACTTGTTTGGACACCAACAACAACCACAGCAACTGCAGAAACATCCTTCAGCTTGGTGTGCTCAGGGCAGCCCCCCCCAGCTGCTCAGACAGCTACACAGGCTTGGTAAAGCAAACAGCTGCCTGCTTCTACTGGTGTAGAAGGACCAGCAACTGGACATGCTATCCATTGCCTGCGTAGATGGAAGGACAGGGAACTGGGTGCCATCACTTAGTTCTTTCACATTCAAGATGCTGCACAAACATCTGGGAGGGTTAGGCAGACACAGCTGTATTTCTGGGTGAGCTGGTGAGGCAAGAGACCTAAGTGGCCTGCTCAGAATCTGCCTCAGTAGATGACAGTTCTGGCCTCCTTATGCACACACTGCAAGGCACTTTTATTGCAGCTGCAAGTGTGACACACAGGCTCTGCTGTCTGAATCACACACACAGTGACAGGAAATGAGTGGGAAAAGGGAGGGAGGATATATCACATAATAGTGTTTCAGCACAGAGAAGACAGTGCAACAACAGAAACTGCACCTCCTCACAATGAGAGTATCAATTACCTTTGGGCGCTTCCATTCAACTTTCCTTGGTGGTGCCGACTGATAGAAAAGGGACTCATCTGAGGCTGGAAACTCAGGATCTTTGAAGAGCTGTCTCTGCTGGATACACTGCCCTTTCAGTTCATGGTACTTCTGATCCCTGAAGAATTGCACTGATGAAGACATCTCGTTCTGTCTGGATAAAATGAATTTTGGCTTGTGTAAATTATAAAGGCTCTTTAAAGTCCATAAATGATATCACCCACCGGTCTTAAACAACAGAATACATAACTTGTTCTAAACAAGTTACTGATTTCTGTTAACAAGATTATAAATTACATGATGTCAAGTAGTAGACTAGAAGACCGTAAAATCCAAAAACATCTTGTATATTAGGATGGTATTCTTGGCTGAACAGAACTCTTATCAGGAAAGACATTTGAAAGTTCAGCCCAGGCACAAAACAAGCATTTTGCTTTGTCTAATTGATTGAAAAGTTAACAGAGTTGGGCCTGGCTTCTCAGTCTGCACCATGTGTAAAGGACTGGACCACCTTTCTGTTCTACACTCTTTTACTGGTCACTAGAGTCATAATTATTTACTCCAACTCTTACGCCTTAAGAAAACCAAAAAAATATTTTTAGAGTTGTCATCTAAATTTAAGTGACAATATTTTGGCTGGTATTACTGTTTTGAACTTTGTTATGTTTCAGGAAACTGAATTCCCAGAAACAGCTAGTATTTTCAAATAATTGATGAGGATTTTAAAAATGCAACAAACCCACAATGACAACAAAAAAAGCATAAGCAATTTGCTTGCCTTATTTCCCAAAATCGTGACTAACCTGGCAAGTTTATGGTCACAGCCACAGAACTCAAATAAATTAAGAACATTCTACAAATCAGAAAACAGCTACAGAAATAATTCAAAATAGTCTGAAGCTTGGGGGACGTGCAGGATGCTACCTTCGTTTCAAGAGAGGGAGTGGAGAGAATATCTGAACTTGCTCTGTTTGGAATACTCCTCTGTGTCAGTTCCTCTCTTCCTCCTTCCCACCACGGGTTAGAGGTGTATCTCCCCTTCCTTGAGCTATCCACAGCAATAAAGACAAATGAAAGTTTTTCTGATGTCAGATAATGAGATTTAAACAGCATGCATGTAATTAAGCAGGGCATTACATTGTTCTAGCAGCTTACTTGCTGCATCCAGTTGCAGTGATCTCATCTTGTGTTCCTTGATCCACTTGCAGCACAAATTGGATGAGATTTCAAAAATTTGCAGAAAACTAAACTGAGCTAGGCACAAGCCTAGCCTTTCCATGGCAAAATGGGAGAAATACAGAAAAGTAATGAGGAAAACTTGGAAGTGTCAAATTCATCATGGTCTTCGACCTTGTGAGTGAAAACCACTGCAGAGAAAATAATCTTGGGTTTAATGACCACCTTCTCTCTCTTTCTCCCTCCCACTTCCTTCCCCCTGAATCCAAAATAAATTAGCTGGTCCTTCAAGGACAAGGAATGTTGCTCTAATGCCTTCACTCATGGTAATGAGGACAGAAGTCAGGAGAGCTTTTCTACCTTGTTCCATTTCTTGCACCCATTCCAAAGTCTCCTACGCTCAGAGTACACTCAGAGTAATCTACTCTTAAGTGTAAGTACTACCTGATTTCTACAAGCAGAATCTTACATATCAAAGTGATAGGACAAAGAAATAGTTTGTTCTTGCTATTCTGACCAGACAAATCTTCAAATTCCAGCTCATCCTCCATCCTTTCTCAGGGTAAAAATCCAGCAATAAATTTTGCATACATCAGTACTGTAACAACTTAGAGTCAAACTCTACTACTGTTGCTGGAATCAATGAAAAAATTGTTATGCCTTCAGCCAGGCCAAGGCTCCCCTTCCAGAACCAGGCCATGGAGTCCCTTAGTGGTTGTGTCATTCACCTTCAATAAAACACTAACACACTACAATGAACTGTTCAAAATCAAAATGGTTCACTGATACTATGTCAGTTTTAGCAGCTTCCTTCTTCTTAAGGTCTATTTTCATGTTAATTATCTCCCTTGAAAAAAAGTCACAAGGCATCTCTCCTGGCAAATGGCCTCCAAAGACAAAACAAACAGACTTGCTTCCCCCCACAAACCAGTTCTTCAAATCCAAGTGCAGAACAACTTGTCAATTATACAAAGATAGTTCAGGGACAAAAAAATATAAATTAGTTTGGCTAATTTGTGTGGGATACAGATTATTTCATGATAACTGGTATTCTTGCTTGTTAAAAATTCCCCACAGCTAACTAACATTCTAAACTGAGCCTATTTGCAAGATACACTTGTTTTTAAAATAGCTCCTGGGTGATAAGGTTTTCAGCTGTCACTGTCTAATTCATAGAGATAGATCTTCAATGACCTCATTATTCCCCCACCCTTTCTCCTCTTCTATCTGCTGGACTGGAACGTGAGTCCATCCAGGATTAACACCCCATTACACAACAGCCAGACTGGCAGCAACGCACAGAGCAGTTTCACAAAGCACAGCACACGAAACCAAGCTGCTCCCTGCCCCAGCTGGGGCTCCAGGAGCAGTGCTCACCCAGGGGAACACGTCAAGGAGGAAGCTTTTCCACAGTCTGTTAAGGTGCTCCCCTCCAAGCTCTCTATGCCACTCTGAGCGAATGACTGACTGCATGTCTCAGAGAGTTGGGCCCCTGGGCTGCCCAGCCTGGCTGCAAATAGCTGCTTTCTATCCACCCAAGGGACACAAAGCTCTGGAGCTGAAGCCCCATCACCACCTGGTAAACTAGCAGACACTCACTTTCTCAGGAACCCAAAATGACACTTTTGAAACACAAAATAAGTCTCTCTTTCTTGTTGGAAAGTCCACAGTGAGGAATATAGAGCAACTTCTATACAATAGCCTAGTGATTTGAGCACTGAGGGTGGAGGACTAAAGCAGAGTCCCTCCTCTCCTGTGGCGTCACCTTCCTGACATGACATAACCTGGCTGAATCAGCAGGTACCTGGCTCCTACCCCAAAGTTTATTTTTGAAGCATCTTCTAGTTTTTGACCCTCAGTTGAACATCAAAGGTCTCTCCTCCTTTCTGGAGCGCATAGAAAATAGCAGCACAGCTTCCCTTGCTCCGCACCCAGCAAGTTTACCTGTGGTTGGGCAGATGCTTAGAAGGTGCAGCTGCACTGAGGGTGCACCAGGCAGGGCTTGGCAGCTGCTCCTTCCAGGGCTCCCTGCACTGTCATGTGAGACAGAGTGAGCTGTGCACAATGTGACCAGGGCGAAGGAGCACGGTTCTAAAAATACCATACCACCATTCAAAGACCCTCTGCTGCTCTGTTGAGGGAAAGGGACCACTTCAGGGGAGGGACTGAAGAGAGAGGAAGGGGAAAAAACCCCAAATAGCTCTACAGGTGAGCCATTCTTACATTTTTTTGTTTCCTTTCCTGACCATATACAACTACTGTTTTGCTCTCTACCCTTTCCAGTCTCTGAGCTGAGCTCCCCAGCACATCACCTCTCTGGGCAGCACAACAGCTCCACAGCTGACCCCAAAATTTCTACAGCACCACAGCAATCCCCCTTGATACCAGGAGGTGTACAGATCCCACATCTCTCAGCTATCAACCACTAAGCTTTAAAGTCTTTCTCTGACCCTTTGTTTTTGTAATGAGATTCCTGCTTTGATCAGAAGAAAGGATTTAAGCAGAATAGGGAAGACAAGCCAGTGTAAGTCTCACAGAGTCCCCTCCTCAGCCTGAGAGAAGAAGCATTTCATTTTTACTTACAGTTAACATTCAGAGATGCTTCCCCCTGTCGGAACCAGCAAGAGTACAGCTAAATGACATTCTACGCAGTGGCAAATAACAGCTTCTGGTGTTATTAGCAGCCTTAATTTAAAGGGACATTCACTTGAAATGCATTTCTTCACAAGAACATTAAGACGAGCTTCACATATTATTTCCACTACTCAACAGTATTTCTTCATACTCACATTTTTCTGTCTTAAACTTTCGCTTCCCCAGCTGCTACATAGCAGATCCACAACAAACAAGACTGACTAATTGCCTAGACCAGAATGAGGGAAAATTACACTCTCACTACCACTGAGTTCAGGCAATGAGCACACAAAAACTAACAGAAGTAATCTCTTCTCAGCCCATTTTTGTTACTCTCTGTAACTGACACATGGTAAAGTCAGAAAGACTTTATTATTATTATTGCAGAGGTTAAGTCATTTGCACCCCTCCACAGCAAGACAGCTTGCATGTGAAAGCATCCCTCCCACTCCCACCCTTGCAGGAAGGGCGCAGGGAGGGCACAGAGCTGGGTTTGCCATAACAAAAAACAGCTTTCAGTCCCAAAGGCGAGCACTGCCAAACAGCTGCAGAGAACTCTCTGCTCTAGATGAAACTCCTCTTCAAGGAAGACGTTTGGTGGAGTGCAGTGCATAAATTTTATCATGCACCTCACTTCCCTGCTCCAACTGCAGGACTCAAAGGAATTTCCATGCACAGCACCAGGACTAAAAAGGCTGAGCACATGTCTAGCCCATATTTAACACCACAGATGAACACAGTTCTGAACATGAAGCTACATTCAGCAAGCAGATCCTGTCAAAGCTCAGACACAACCCAGCCTTGGGACCACATTCTTGCTGTTCCAAAAGCCCCCATCTGGGTAAACCACAGAAGGATGCCAGAAGGGATACACACAGCACATGTTGTGCTCTGGGGTAGCATCCCTATTTTAAGATTATTATCTATTTGCAGGTACCACGCCAGCCTTTGTTTCACACGAACAGTAGCCTTACCAGTGATAAAAACAACCTACACCTGGTTCTGGGGCTTCTCTTTCGTAACTGCAGTCATGTGCCCGTCTTGATAAGGCACAAAAACCTCCCAACTCTAAACTCCATTACTTCAATACTATCTTACCATCAGACCTTAAAGCCTCTGTTTAGACTGTGACAGCAAAACAGAGACTCAAGTATTTAACTGTTTGCAAAGACAGTTCAGTATTTCCCCAAACACCTCCTCCAAACTCATAGCTTGCTTCAGAGTAAGCAAAGCAGGGAGTGCTTCCAAAAAAGCAGCCCTGCAGCCAAAAGGTTTAAATTACTCTGAACTGGTTTTCTGTAAAACTAATTAAAGGCACTTCCAGGGCTCCAGCT